ATTTAAATCACAAACTGTAAATCTGCTCTTGGATATCCCTGTTTTGTGTGTGTGTGAATTCAATACCTATATATTGACAGGAGAGAGCTCACATCTGTTTGGTAAGAATATTCCATTATTAGGAAACTCCTAAGCCTGTCCCAGTCTCACCCTATATTCTTCCAATTCCTTTGCACCGTCATTGGTGCTCTCAGCTTATGATGGTGAGATTAGATCACCGAAGAGTATTACAGAGAGAAATCAGGATGCAAAGCTTCTTTATTCATCAACTGTGAAGAGGCAACTGGACAGCTTATAGGAGCAACACTCAGCTTTTGAGTGTTTTGAAATTTCTCAACTTCCGGTGAGTTTAAACAGGATATAACTGCAGGATTTTGTGGGGAGGGGGTTAATCTAGATCTAAAACAAGAAATGGAAAAGGACATTCTGAACCTGTGAGCTTCTACTGGGGCTGCAAATGGAAATGGGTGAAAACATGAAGAAAATATACCCAAAACTTCCTTATAGTGCCATGAGACAGGCTAGTAAGTGAACTTGATTATTATAAGGTCACTACAAACCTTGATTACTAAGTTCATTTAAAAAGAACCCCAAAACTGACCCTCCCTTTTTGTGGCTTCACAGCAAACAGGAAAGGAGGGTTCTTGGACACTGAAGGACCACAGAGCAAACAGTTCTTTACTCCCAGGATGTGCTTGAAAATTTGGCCCAAGCACCGAGAGGCTGACGTGAGAGAGTAGGCTGAGGAGAAAGCCAGTGGTGAGGGAGCATGGGAATGACCGCAGTGCAGCGCGGGTGGCTTCACCTTCTCCCTCTGAGGGTAAAATGTTTGTTTGTTCCATTCTGAAGCAAGGTACTTGCTGGATTTTGTTTTTGTTTTTTTATGAGCTTGGTTTGGGTCTTCCTTGGCTCTCCAAATTACTTATTATCTCTGCCTTAGCAGGACCCTGGGTGACACTGAACCCCATTAATGGAGGAAAGAGTGTCCTTGTACCAACAGCCATCATAATCAATCAGAAATGGAATTGTCTCTCTCCACGTTTACTGAGAAAGAAATAACAGATGTCGGGGGTGATAAGAGCAGCATCAGGGAGCCTGACTAAAAAATCTTCTGAAACTGCTTTTTCTTAGCTGGAATTTTATGGTAGTTCCTTCTTTGTAGATTTCTACAGCTAAGCTCTGTTGCCTTGGGTCTAAGGTGACACTAGCCCTGGTTCCCAGTCAACACCCCCACCCCCCACAAAAAGAGCAGAAATAAAACGCTATGCCTTGAAATCTTACTTTTCTACTTACAGAAATTATAGAATATAATTTTAGAAATTATATTATAATTAAATTAATTATAGAAATTAAAAAATACTTCTACTTTTTATAGAAGGATACTTTGTCATTTTCAAAAAGGGAAGGAGCCAGCATTGCTTAAAGAACAGGAAAGTCTTTTGCCTCACAGAGAAGTGGATTACTTGACACCTTTGGAGGCAAATATGTGAAACTCTTCTTATTGCAAAGATCAAGTCAGATACTGAATTCAAGATTACTTAACTTCAGGGTTGCCCTCGGAATTCCTAGGAAAGCCTTGACAGGACATGTTTAGCCTTTGCTGATATCTGTGGCTGACAGATTTCCAAGGCAGGAAATGGTCTTTTTTGTTCTATTCCTCCCAAGGGTTTTTCTGGGGGAACTAGAGGGTAGAACTTTGACAGAAACATGGCATGGTTTGCCTGGTATGGAAGGCACTCACAAATGAAATATTGCACATGAAATACACAGTGCATGCAGCCACGATTCTCACGCCCTGTGCAAATCTCGATGGACCTGATATCCAGGGATTAAACAGACAACTGTTATTCAGCTCTTTCTGTAGAGAATTCTTTCACAGAATGCCTCATGTTTAAAATTAGACACAAACTCTGTACAAGCCTAAAGGAGCACGTTCAAAATGATCTAATTGTGCAAAAGAAACTTGCAAGAAAATGACAGGGTGGAAAGGGGGAATGAAATTCAGGGAAGATAGAATTCAAGTATAACTTGTATGTTCTTTGGGGTTTGTTAGAGATGTCAAGTGCTCCAATGCAGGCTTCTTTTTCTTTTTCTTTTTTTTTTTTTAATATTTATTTATTTATGCATACGAAACTGGGGTATAGGCCAGAGGTGCAGGGTGCAGGATCCCTGGATCCTCTCACCAGACACAGAACAGGGAGAAGAACAGGCAGATCGACTAAGTACACTGCTTAGGGGATCTGCTGAAGGGAGCACTGGGCCAGACAGGAGAGGTCTGCTGTGCCATTGTGGGTCACCTCCCTGGGCAGGGATGGAACTCTGCTGAAGCGGCTGCAGGGAGCTTCACAGTGCTGTGCTTTAACTTGTTGTGCCACCAGGGAGGGCCCTCCAAGGCAGGTTTCTTAAGGCATTATTTTGAAACCTGGAATGAGTTAGTAGTTGAGGTATTTGAGGGATATAGAGGATTGTCCAGCAATCCTCTTGATGATGGCAGTCACCTCTTGTGTATGACGAGGATTCTTCAGCAATTGGCTGAGAAAAGGGGGTATAGGAAGTCAAGGAGAACCTGTGCCACGGCTCTAGACTTGTCTTCCTGACCCCCAAGTCTAGTATTTATACTTTTTACAGTCTTTTTTGAACCCTTTGCGCCAATCTGTGCATATTATCCCCTTTAATTTTCCACAAAACCTTAAATAGAAGATATTATTTGATTCATTTTATAGATGGAATGAGGTCCAGAGAGATTATCTACCATTACACAATGGCTGGAGGAGCAGGAATTTGAAACAATGTCTATTTAATTCTTAAAAGCATACCTTACAGTGTATTTTACCCCAACTATAACTTGACATATTAGAATTACCTTAGACCATTAAACATAATAGGATCATGATAAGATGCGAGATAAAATACAAGGTTTCCAGTTAAATTTAAATTTCAGGTAAACAACAAGTGAATTAAAAAAAACACATAAGTACAGTCCATTAAGTATTTGGGATATACTTCTACTAAAAGTACTCATTTGTCATTTATCTGAAATTCAAATTTAACTAGCTGCCCTATATATATTTTTTATTTGCTAAGTCTGGTGATCCTCTCCTGTTTTGCTCCTCATTCTGTCTCTGGTGAATCCTCTCACCGCCCACACCACTGGCCTACAACCCAGTTCTTGCATACATAAATAAATAAAAATTATTAAAAAAAAAAATCTGGTGATCCTGATCTTGGTAAACTCTCCAAATAAGAGAAAGGAAACTTTGTAATTTCTTACTACAGTGAAGGGTTTGGTAAGTCAAAAACACTTGATCCAAGAGAAATTCTGCAGTTTTTCTCTGTGGCTTTGGCAATGCTGGGATGTGTTCCTGGTAGCACATTCTTGAGAATAATACTGCTCTTGGCTGCTCACCTGTGATTCCCATGGCCCCAGCTCTACTTGGGAGGGTTACAAACTTTGCTTATTTACTAGGCAAGAGAGGACCCATAGCACAAGCATAGATTCAGTGAGTTTTAAAGGCTTAGCATCACATTTTCTTAAGCCACTGAGGGCTTTGTGAAGTGCGAGCAGCAAAGGCCTTCTTTCTGACTTGATGGGTAAGGTCACAGGGTTAGGATTTTACAACCCAAGCTTCAAAGTTCTAGGTCAACTTTTTGTTTACTCATTTGTCAAATAGCTATTGTATGCCAAGTTTTGTTGTAGGCTCTGAGGCTACAGAAATGAACACAAACTGAAAAAGAAAGCCTCTTGGGGCATATTCCCTTTGGGGATTAGGACAAATCCATAGCATGAGCAAGTGATGCAGGGCCCTGGCCTGGTTCACCATCCCTGGCACCAACTCCCGGATTAGTCAATGTGTTGCTGTTGAGCAAGTTGAGAACTGGCAAAAGAGAATGAAATTAGCAACTGGGAGAATGAAAATAAGGAAAAAACATCTTGGAGGGAAGGAATACTTTAGCATGATTTTGAAAGTAAGATGAAAAATTTGATGAAGTTATATAATGTAGGACTTGAGGGATATATAGTGTGGTTGGAAGAAGAAAGATGATTATCATATGTCAAAGATTATCAGGAAAGTTGGATTTAAGATTATTAGCATAAATCTATGATGGATGAAATAAGGAATTCTATAAAAAAAAAAAGCTCCCAGCAGTAGGTTATGGAAGGAGTTGGTTCAAGGCCAGTTCAAGGCTAGTTGGATGTTCTTTGGAGTTTCAAAATATTCCTTCCCATAATAATTAGTATCAACTTTTGTGGCAGCAGTTTTTTTTTTTTTTTTTGGTATTTAAGGATGATGCAAAATTTAAAAACTAAAAGAAAAGCCTAGGAAAATGAAATGGGAAGGTTCATGATTTGGGCAGGAGAAAATATTAAAAATGTCTAAGAGATGCATGATTAAAGATCCTGGTGTTTAGATATAAAGTTCAGAACATATTACTTAATCTTTCTTCACTGACGTGCCAATTTGTGTTTGTGTGTGTGCTGGGATGTATTGACTACTTTGAGAATTAAATTAAACAAAGCAATAAGGACTATAAAGAACAAAGGTCATGAAAGTGGGCTAGTAAACAGTCAGGTTATTTTGCAGCTGGATGGAAAAATACATGAAATGCAAAGAATATATCAGTGCTGTAAAGACTAAAAATCATTTTGTCCATTTTTCCCCATTTACAAATGGTGGAACTAGTATTCACGGAGGGGAATAAATCCTTAGAATAAATTCACCTAGAAAGCCAATGGTGGAAACTGGAACAACTTACCTATCTGGATTTTGGTGTTAACTTAAAACATGTGTTAGTTGTCAGGTTACATAGTGCCTCCATTTACTCATACATTATTTTCCTTAAAATTCCTCTCAGAAATGGCAACTTCTCTCCTTCTGTGTCAATGTTAAATGCTGAGCTTTTTAGCAAGGTATTTTTCTTCCCCCACTTACAGTGATGATCTAATAAGCAATTGTTCCCATATCTTAAAGGGTCTCCTTTTTTTCCTTTCATTGTCTAAGGAGCCTGAAGAGAACCAGCATCCATATAAGGATTATCAAAATGAGTGACAACATTAAACATTTGGCCCCTCCTGCTTCAAACCAGGGTCCTACCACTCCACGCAAAGGGCCCCCCAAGTTCAAGCAGAGGCAGACTCGCCAATTCAAAAGCAAACCACCTAAGAAAGGTGTGAAAGGGTAAGACCAAGATGAAAAATATGACTCCTTTTTTTTTTTCCTTCTCAAAGATGGCTTTGGTGTTGAGAAATTAATGCTTTCAATATTCAATAGAATTAAAAAGTCTCCTTTCCATCCTCTGTTTTCTAACATAGCCATGGCTGAATCATGTCAGGAACACTGGCACCTTTATTCTCCTAGTACCCAGGGATATAGCCAAATGTAGCAGCAAGTGGAATCTGTCACAATAACCTTCACCCTGACCTTCCAGACTTTTCTTTTACCATTTGTGTTTGCCAACATACTCTATGCATATAATTTATTGTTATGACTTTAATCTTATGTCTTTAGTTTTTCTTTCTCTCCTTGTCAATATGCTATTTATTTTCAGCAGGCTTTCAAATGTCGGTTTCTTTTTTGAAGTCATCATTGACTATTAGACAAACATCAACTTCCATTTGCATTTTGTACATTCCACTATTTTAGCTTGTTTTATTTTATATGACATTTAATAGCTAACATCTGTTCCTTGAGACTGAGGTCCCATAGGAAAAAATATTTGTGTTTGCCTTATCTCCTTGGCCTACAACAATGCCTGGTACGTAGTAGATGCTTAAGAAATACTTTTGGATAACTGGATAAGTCGCTGGATTAACTACCTTAATGCCTTTTTATAGTGTTTTCTCATTCCAAGTTCTTTTTTAGATAGTGGTTCTTGACCAAATTACCCATGGAGAATTCTTTCTGGCTATCATTTGTTTTAGGATGAATTTTTTTTTTAAGATTTATTTATTTATTCATACAGAACTGGAGTACAGGCCAGAGATGCGGAGGGTGGGAGGATTCACTAGAGACAGAGCGGGGAGCAGAACAGGCAGGTCAACAATGTACACTGCTGAGGGGAGCAGCAGGTGGGTCAGGAGAAGTTGCAGTGCCATGAGGGTCACCTCTGGGGTGGGGATTAAACTCATGCTAAAGTGGCTTTAGCTTCTCAGTGCTGTGTTTTAACCCACTGCACCACCAGGGAGGGCCCTATTTTAGGATGAATTTTTATAGGGGGAAGCTATCCCTTTACTAGGGTCTATTGTCTAAAATGTCCGTGGGGCATTTTCTGACAGTTCAATGCAAACAAAAGGAGCTTCTAAATACAAAAACTTAAGACTCTTCTTTCCTATTGAGTGAGGAAATTCTCTATATGAGTCATTTCAGAAACCATTTATTCTGAACTTAGCTCATTTCTCTTTCCTTTTGTCTATAGGTTTGGAGATGACATTCCAGGCATGGAGGGACTAGGAACAGGTGAGCCTCCAAAGGATTAAGTAAGGGCTTTCTTTACTGTTGAAGTTTTACCTTTTCATATATTTCCAGCTTGAAGGGGCAGGTGAAAGTTATAATAAATACCTAAGGCAGAAGATATTTGAAGTCTTGGAAATATGGGAGTTTAATCTAAACTCCTGAGTGAATTCTCTTGTTTTGTTGAACAGCTCTTAGGGATATTAAATGATAGGTTATAAGCTTTCATGTAGAAAAGTTCTCAGTTAGTGTAGCCCAATTTTCTTTCATTTTCAGAAGAGAAATATGAGACAGGAATTAAGTGACAATTTGAGGCCAGTGAGTGAAGTATTGGAAACAAGAGTGGACCTGGAGAACCATTCTACTCTGCAAACCACTCACTTACCAACTTCCTTTTAAAAAAAAAAATAAATAAAGTTTGCTGGCATCCAGAACAGGACTTGACACTCTGTATATGTCCAATACATGATTTTTAAATTTGTTTGAAGTATTTAACCTAAGTTATTGGAAATTCCTTTTAAAATGAATAGACTTCATTTTTTTTTTTTTAAAGATTTATTTATTTGTACATACAGAACTGGGGTACAGGCCAGAGGCTCAGGGGCGGTGAGAGGCTTCACCAGAGACAGAGTGGGGAGCAGAACAGGCAGATCGACGAAGTACACTGCTGAGGGGAGCAGCGGGTGGGTCAGGAGAGGTCTGGCTCGCCATGTGGTCTCCTCCGGGGCAGGCGGGATTTGAACTCATGCGGAAGTGGCTTCAGCCTCTCAGTGCAGTGCTTTAACCCGCTGCGCCACCAGGGAGGGCCTAGACTTCATTTTTAAGAGAAGTTTTAGGTTTATAGAGAAAAAGAAGCAGAAAAATCAAACTGGCTATATACCCTCTCAGACACCATCTTTTATTTGTCTATTATCAGCACCTTGTATTAATGCAATGCACTTATTATAACTGATGGACTAGTATTGATGTAATATTATTAGCTAAAGTCAGTGCTTGCTTTAGGGGTCATTCTTTGTGTTGCCAAGTTATGAGGGTTTTGACTAATGTGCTCCACTATTAAAATTTCATATAAAATAGTTTCACAGACCTAAAATACCCTGTACTTCACCTGCTCATCTCTCCCTCTCCACTAAATGGCTTTTACTAACTTTATAGTTTTACCTTTTCCAGACTGCCATGTAATTGGAATCATACAGTATGTAGTTCCTCCAGACTGGCTTCTTGTACTTAGAATTGCATATTCATTTAAGGTTCCTCCCTGTGTTTTTTTGTGGCTTAATAGCTTGCTTCTTTTTGTCACTGAATAATATCTCATTGTATGATTGTATCACAGTTCATTTTATTTTGGGATGCCTTGTTGTTCCAAGTTTGGGCAATAATGAATAAAACTCATTAAGGTTTTTGTGTGGATATAAGTTTTCAACTCTTCCTATATACTTTGACAACTGGTGGCATATATAGTTTTCCATGTTCTTACTAGGGAATTCATTTTGCTCTCAAATGCCAATCCTGGAATATCAACCTGATTTTTTTTTGTTGTTGTTACTTTATAAAAGTAATTGCTGTTTTTTCTAAATCAACTGTTTCTATAGTTCGGCCAGATATGTACAAGCCTAGAAAATTCTCTTTGGACTTGGGAAGGAGATATGCTTCAGTCTGCTAGCATATATAGTATAGTGGAATAAGATTTATACTGAGAAAAGGTCTGAGATCTTTGACCTAGCTTAGTCTCATCTCTACAACTCAATGATTTTTTTTTTCATCAGTATTTAATCCCTCTAGGTTATGGCCATCTGGGACAATAATATCATATGCCTAAAGCAAGTGACTGTATTAAATGAAGTCTTCTCAATATGATCGGAAGTGGCATTCAAAATGTTAATGAACTGAAAACTGTGTTAGAGAAGTCCAGTGATACATATGGATCTCTTGGGAGTAAGGAGACTGGATTTGCAGACCAGAGGGATTTAGTGATCGTTTTCTCATTTTATCCCTTGGCCTCATTACAATTCCACTTTTGTTCCTTCCTTAGTGGTTGCACTTTGGGGAAACCCCTTGAGATCTGTAAACTGCCCCTAAACAGGGTCACCCTGGTTAAAATCTTTAGGTCTCTCCCCAAAAAGGATGCAAAATAAAGCTAACAGGATGCCTTTGGTTGGGGCTGGGTTAGGGCTATTCGCTGGGTGTCAGAACCTTGAGATCTGATCCTTCCAGGCCTGTAGGTGCAGTCTATAAACTCTCCACAATGAGTAGGAGAAAGGGCACAGATCTGCCTAAAGAATGTCTTCTGAACTGAAGAGATTTTCCTGGGAGTGAGGTTTACAAATTCTTCCCTCTCTTGCAGATATCACAGTGATCTGTCCCTGGGAGGCCTTCAGTCACCTGGAATTGCATGAGCTCGCCCAGTTTGGGATCATCTGAAGCACCAGAGATTCTGCTATTCTCAATAGCATCTTCTGTAACTTTAGTCATTGCTCAGCCAGTCTTAACATTCAGCTGTTCGGAAATGGTTTTTTTGGCTTACATAATCGTTTTCCTTAAGTTACTAAGATTTCTCTTGAGGTCAGACTCTTTCTTGTAGTGGTAGAAAATAGTGGATGAAAATTGACTTCTGTTAGGGCATTTCAAACTTATCCTATCAACTGGTTAGAAGTCATCAGTACTTCTCTAAATTTTATTAAGTCCTTTAAATCTATTTTTGCTAGGCATTCATTATGATCAGTAGTAGACTATTAAGATAACATTTATATCACTCCCCCCCTTCTCATTTAATAAAGGAGCTATTTATCTTGACTCTTAGGATGAATTTATATTAAATGCTATATGCAAATACCCGATGCCCATTCATGAGGACCCATTAAACAAAGACAGAGCCTTACCACAGAGGCTGATTAGGAACCAAGACCTATTTCTTAGTTGCAGCTTTGTAAATCATGCACCTTCTGGATCTGACTTATATTGAGTTAGGTCTTCCTGAGGTCCCAAGCCACTCTAAGTTGAGGAAACTGGAGATTTAAACTCAGGATTCTTACCTCATGAGCCTTCATATTTTTACTGCCTTGATTCAGTTGATTGAAAAGACTTACATACATTAAAGTTTAATTCTCAAATATCCAGGATGGGGCATTGACCCCTTCATATAAAGTGATGGTTTGCTTCATCCCTGGCTGTGTCAAGAGCAGTGTGCCCACAGAACTCTTACACAGTGCTTTGAAGGCAATTGTGCAATTCAGAGGTTGCCACTGTCTGATAGGCTCTTTGGTACTAGCAGCGTTTTCATTTCTTCATTTCAGTTTTGTAACCTGTGGTGACAGAATGGAGTAAATTAACTGTAAAGAGAAGAAGACCATAGGAGAAAAACTATTTGGGTTTTAATCCTGGCTCTTCCAGGAAATTGTTTTATAACTATGGGCAAAGATTTCAACCTGTGGCCTAAATGAGATAATCTAAAGTTGTGGTAGTGATAAATGCTGTGGCTGTGAAGTCACCAGTCTGTGCATGAAAATTAGAACAGTTCAGCCCTTAAGAAAGCCCATTCTTCTGTACAGATGGCCCCTTTAAGTTCTGGCCAGAAAGGTAGAAGCCCAAGGAGCACATCTTGATTGCAGAGGGAATGAGATTGGATTTCTAGGCCATGGACAAATTTAAAACATGCCTATTTCTTCTTTTAATTCTTGGTCTGATTAGAATTTCACTTATATTTGCTTCTTAGTGGGGGAAAAAAGGTACAGAAAAAAAGTAAGGTGTACATTCAAAAGTGGAACCATGATGTGTAAAAAATGTAGTGGCAAGTGTCTTCCCTTTCCAGCAGGAGCTCCTACCTCCAGCCTGCTGCTCCTAGTGACAGCCAGAGCCTTCAGGTTGCCTGTGTTCATTCTGGTGTGTATTTCAGCTAGGGAGGTCTGGATTCTTCTCCAGCTGGGTGACAGTCTGGTCCATATAACTTATTTTTGAAATGCTTCTCTAAATATGGACCAGTAACATTAACAAAACACAATTCACCCAAAGGAATCTATCCAATGACCAGGATGGAGAAGGATCTAGAAACCATACTACATAAAGAACTCTTAATGAAACTGATTATATTTATCTTGGAGGAGAAAATGGTAATTGCCAGCAAATATATGCGATATTGCAGTGAAGAGGATGACACATTAAGCATTAAATGGTAAGTTATTAATTTAATTTAAAGCCCATTCAAACTCTAGAATTTTATTCTTTCTATTCCTGAATTCAAATGCTGCCATTTTTTTTTTTTTTTAGATTTATTTATTTGTACATACAGAACTGGGGTACAGGCCAGAGACTCAGGGGCAGTGAGAGACTTCACCAGAGACAGAGTGGGGAGCAGAACAGGCAGATCAACGAAGTACACTGCTGAGGGGAGCAGCGGGCGGGTCAGGAGAGGTCTGCCACGCCATGTGGTCACCTCCGGGGCAGGCGGGAATCGAACTCATGCGGAAGTGGCCTTAGCTTCTCAGTGCTGTGCTTTTAACCCGCTGCGCCACCAGGGAGGGCCCAAATGCTGCCATTTTTATTATTTCTATTAAGAAGTGGAACACCCTTGAAATATAAATAGCACATATGAAAGAGATAAAGGCAAACCATTGTCCCTGTCAAAGTTTTGGCAGCAGATATGCCAATACTGAAATATAATAATTGAGGAGGATTTCATAAAAGATCTGCTTACAAAGACTTGGGGAGCATTAGGGAGAAACTACAAAGGTGGTACAGTGACTTGGGGCTAGCAACAGTGGCTGGGCTACCTGAAGGAACCCCAAAAGATCATTTCTAACTCTGAGGACTCCCTGGGAGGTCAGTAACCTTGTAGAGGGATAGAACCAGCCCATGTGATCATGTGGCTTTCAGCAGAGTCTAGGGATGGGGTTAGTAAATACCCAGCCTTGCTCTTTTCCATCCTCTATACTCCTGCTGATATTTCCATTAGATAATAAACATGCTGGGAGTCAGAGGGAAAAGGCATTCACTGATGTGGTAAGTGAACTTCCAACAATCAGAATCACCTCCAGTAGCCATGATGAGATGGGGAAAGGTAATGAGTGGGTGTGAAGAAGCAGATGGGGAATTTCCAGCATAATAATGCTATCAATGAACAGATACTGTTGACTAGCCGGTGATTTTCAGTTAAGAGTTGGGAGATAGCATGGAGAGAATATATCCAAAGGTGATTCTAATACGAACCACTGTGTGGAGAAAGAGCAATGTTAAATAGATAGAACACAGTAGGCAAAGAGAACAATTAAAGAAATTAGAGAATCTAGTTTGGAAAGGTTTTTGAAATATGACACTTTCTGCTTATAAGAGCCATTGAGGATCTTTTGTGAAAAACAAAAAATCAGGATCTCCCTGTTGGTGGATGAAGTTAAATCTCAGCACTATGAAGCTCTGTCAGTCACTGCAGCCTGAGTTCAATTCCTGGCCAGCGAGCTAACCCAAATGGTGCAGCAGACCTCTCCTGTCCTGCCCTTCTGGTCTACACCCCAGCTCTTGAATGCATAAGATAAGTGAAATAAATCTAAAAAAAGAAAAAGAGAAACACAGAAATTGGGCTCTACCTCAGATTTTCTCAGTAAGAATCTCCAAGGAAGAGCTCTTAGAATTTACATTTTTTAAATAAGAGCGCAATGTGGTTCTTTTATTTGTGCCAGTTTGAAAACACTGATGTGTGCCAAGTGTACATTTTATGTATTTATTTTAAAAATCATTCATTCTTTGTTACTATCAGTTTATTATATTAAAAATAACAAAGTATATATTAAGTCACTTGGAGAATAGCCACATTTCTTTAAGGCACAGTGAAGTAAATGTGCACTTGTAAATAATTAAGCTTAGATGCAGAACAAAAATTAAGAGTATGTAAGTTATGAAGCCAACTCAGGTTTTATTAAAAAGTGTAAAGAAATACAGATAAAATCATAAGGGCACAGCTAATGCCAACAATTATTGCTCAGTGAAGGTGGGCCCCAAGCCTGAGTTGGTCCTTATCATTTCAAGGGCTTGATGAAATTATAGGTTTCTCCTTCAAAAATATCCACAAAGTTCAGCTTACATTTTTAACATATTATAAAGCAGATTAGGTGTCGTGGACATCCCAAAGGCTCATTTTAAGCACAAGGAGTTAGCTAATTCTTAATGTTGCCACACCATGACAACCAGTCCCACTTGCCCTTAGTAACACATTTAGTAGGTGTGAAAACTGGGATTAACATTTACATGTTCTGACTCTCAGGCTGCCATTGTTTAAATAAACATACATGCCTCTCTGGTCTAGACCTGGATCTAGATTAGGACAGTTAAATGCATGTCAGTTGATGAGCAGATCAGAGAATACGAAGTATAACTACCAGAGGAAGCACTTCCAAGAGGTTAAGGGCCAAGAGACGCTCTTGTTTCCTGTCTTGCTGTGCTCTCGGTGGCCACTACCCTAGCCTGTGTCCCTGCCTGTTTTTATCTGTCTCCTCCCACTTAAATAAAGTAAGGCGGAGAGAGTTTTGTCTCAGGACTAGGAAGCATGGAACTTCTATTACTGCCAGCCCTTTGCTCTTCATAATATTGGATAGTAGTTGGGATTGACGGCTATGGTGATACAGGTAATGAACCTTAGTCTGGAATTCCAGAATACTTCAGTGGCGGCAGCAAATGGTACACAAGGAGAAAATGCTCCTCTGGAGTGCTTCACATCGAACTACACACAGCTATTTTTTTTTTAAAAGATTTATTTATTTGTGCATACAGAACTGGGGTACAGGCCAGAGGCTCAGGGGCGGTGAGAGGCTTCACCAGAGACAGAGTGG